CAGTGCACGTGTGTTGTGTCCTGCACAGTGCTGGACAGCGTACAGTGGTGGCCCACACAAACCTGGATGGGGGAGGTGAGGATGATATTGGCAAGGATCACATCAGCTTCTGGCGACTCTGCCACCTCCGGAAAGCCAGGTGATGGGAGGATGCTCCCCCCTCTGGTTCCCTGAGGGCCCCTGTCCAGGTTTCCCTGTTCATCACACTGTGTTGTGGTCGTTAATTGTTCTTTCCCCACTTACTTGGCTGGGTGTCCTGGAGAGCAGCTACTGTCATAGTCCCTGGGTGTCCCCAGCTGAAACCCTGAGTGATGATGGAATGAGCGCATGTCAGACTCTCCCAGTGGGCAGTGAGGGCCTTCCTGTCTGACCCTGTGGATCATGGTGACTGCCACAGGCATTGGCTTCTCTGCGTCTCTGCCCCCACTCGATGATGTGCTTATTTGGAACCGAACACTGTGCTTGCTGCAGAATCCTCCTTCTCTGGCGCTTAAGGAATAACTATGGCATTTATTTGAACAGAGATTTCTCTATAATATACAGATCTACAATATTTCCTTCTGTCTTTATTAACATTTTCAAACACTTTTGCCCAGGACAGCTGTTCTAGACTTATGCTGTACATTTCCCAGACTGCCATGAAAGATCATTTCACTAATGTGTTCGCTCCTGCTCGGAGACCTTGCAAATGAGGTTTTAAAAATCTTTCATTCCAGTGCGAACTTCTGCTTTGATTCTGATATCATATAGCTCTAGTCTGATATCGTGGTATTTGGAAAATTTAGTCATTTCAGATAAGCAGTCGTTTCTTGATACTGTTTTCTTGGCTCTCCCCCTTGGAATTTTAAATTGTACTCGGTGCTCTGAGATCCTGGGATGAGGATGTGTGTCACCGGCACTGCCCAAGGCCTAACCCATCTTTGCTGTGCAGGACATGTTAGGCACAGGAGTTCTCTGGGGACTAGTGCAGCTGGTGACTGAGTTGGAACAGTGAAGGTCCTTGCCTCCTCCCGCCTTTCTGAAATGTCTGTGCTTTTCTGAAGCCAGAAAGGTTTTAGTATGCATGGAGCACAGAGTCTGTTATTGGAGGAGCTTGGATCATAGTTTGAATCGGCAGCAGCCTGGACTGCTGATTTGTACATTTTATACAAATAAACTCTGTAAAGTGCACATGTAGACAGCCACTGTCCTAATGCCATGTTTGTTTTTCCTTAGCACCACGAAACCTATAGGGTCTTTCCCTGAAATGTGACCGTGCTTTCCCAAGCT